CGCGGCTGGCGGCTGGCAGCTGGCGGCGTCCAGCCTGGCACCGGCGCTTGCCCCAAGGCCGCGGGGCGAGAGGACCAGCTGTGCTCTCCCGACTCGGCCAGGTCTCCCCACCGAAGCGTTGGTCACCGTGGAGCCCAGATCTAGTCAGAGCCCCAAGGCCGCCCCAGCATCCCGAGGACGCCCGCAGGCGCTTGGGTGGGGCCTCCAGAGCCGGCAGCTTTGACGCGGAGGATGGAGCAGAAGGCAGAGAGCCCCAGACGCTGGCCCAGCCGGCGGCCCCTGGGCGGTTCCTCAGGAAGAGCCCGCTGGGTCCCAGCCGGTGTCCAGGGAGCAGTCCTTCGCCAGGCCCTGGGCCGTGTGTGTCGAAGGCATGATGACCGTGCAGTTGCCACTGAGAATTTCACCCGGAAACAGAAAGTCCGAGCGCAGTCCTAAGAGGCAGACGTGTCCAGGAAGCGAGGAAGCGAGGCTTGGGGCCTGACTGCTGGGGGGACACAGATGGGGGGAGTCAGAGTCGGGGATCCCAGATACAGGTGCGGGGGGTACAGATGTAGGGGAGATCCCTGGACACACACATAGGGGATGTTCCTCGAGTTCACCCGGAAATCAAACGTACAGTGGCGGGGCAGGTGGGCGTTCCCCCAGGCACCCCCACAGTAAAAGCCAGTTGTTCCCCGGCCTGAGTGAGGGGTCCCCAGCCTGTGCACATCTGCCCCCCGCATCTGCTTCCCGCCCCTGGCCCCCGCATGGCCAGGGTGGAGATGTGCCTTCTCCCGAGTCAAAGCCAGCACACAAGGCGCCTATTCACCACGCTGGGCTCGAAATTCTTCTCCGAAATTCCTTGAACTGCAAACACCGCTCCCCAGGACGCTCAGCATCTTTTCAAATTTCAGACATAAACAGCGACTGGCCGCGCCCGGCAACCCCCGCCCGCCCGCTCCCCTGGTAAAAACAGGGACGGGCCGGCGGGCACCCGTGGGCACAGGGGTCTGCGGACGGCCGGTCACCCGGCCACCTGGGTGCTGCTGGCCCTCTAGCCGCGTGGGGGGCGGGGCGCCACACTCCC